CAGATTTCAGTACTTCAATAGGTTGGTATATTAACATTATATCAGTTAATGAAATTATGGTATTTAACTGTAAATTTAAGTTAAAACCGTAAAACCTAAAACGTTGCTACCGTATTTTTTACGGTAAAATTCTGGCAACCACAGCTGCTGGTTTTTTACCGTAAATTTTACGGAATTTTTTTTACAGTGTGGTAATTTTCTGATGGGACATTATCCGTTAATTTTATAGACTTTTTTTTTTTCATTTCTAATTTTATGGACAACTCTAAAACTCAATGCCATGCAGTGCAAAATACAGGTAAAACACCTGTAAAAAATCAATACAGAACATATTAATGCAGTACATTACAGTAAATTTTTTATGGATTTTAAGTGTAAGAAAATGATTTTTTGCAGTGGATGCACTCCAGAAAAGGAAATGCGAAATTTAATGCTACTCTGAAATAGTGTTTTGTTCGAATGTGTTTGAAATTCTATGTTCACTTCCTGAATTTGAATCGAATCAAACAGGAAGCAGAACGGTATTTTGAATTTGAAACAACTGTAAGTAACATGTAAATCTTTTGAATCTTTTAAAAGCATGTGCTGGAGGCTGGTTCTCCTGCTGATGTTGTTAGTGTATTGATAAAGCGCTGCGCTCGAGGTCTAATTGAATTCAGGAGGACAGTAATGTGATCAGAGCAGGAGTTTGACCTCCGGCTGACCTCACGTGACTCCAGCCACTCCTTAATTATGAAAAGTGAACGTGATCGTGAAATTTATTACGGAAGTAAATACAAACACAGCATTAAAGCAAGACACTACGGGCAAAACCATGGTCAATTTTAGTCAATTCTGCTTCCATATGTCTCTTCTTTCAGACTAATGCAAAGAAAATATTCACAATACACTTTTAAGTGTTTATTTTATTGCACTTTATATATTTGCATCTGTAGATTTCAATTCCAATCCATATGTTTTGAGTTTTTTCTCTTACATACACCAAACTTTACAGTTTTTTTCCTCTCTATATTCATATTTCATTCATACTGATTCATACAACATTTTACTCCTAAAAACATGGTGAATGTGAGAAAAAAGAAGTGTTTGTTTTCTGTCTGTTGACAGTATTTTCTGATTCATGGAGTGATAAAAAGAGAAATGTAAAAACCTCTAATATATTAAAAATCAAACAAGAGTTTCTGCTCTGGAAATCAGTGCAAATTAGTGCATATTTAATTAGTTATTTAGTGCATATTTAAACATAACAAATCAGAAAACTTGTGATGCAAAACAATTGTCTTAATGTTCAGTGATACCTATTCATCTGTATGACTTGTCTTAAAAATGTTTATTGTAAATTTGAATGGATGTTATTTGAATCCAGTTAAGTACACATTTCAGAATGTACTTTTAAAAAGGAAAATTTTTAAAAGTAAATTTAGTAATCTGTTGTAAACCCTAGTGATCTAGACAGCATCATACAATAAAAAAATAAAAAATAGTAAAATTATATATATATGTGTGTGTGTGTATGTATGTATATATGTATGTGTGTGTGTGTGTGTGTGTATGTATGTATGTGTGTGTGTGTATATATGTGTGTGTGTGTGTTTGTATATATATATATATATATGTATGTGTGTGTGTGTATATGTGCGTATGTATATATGTATGTGTGTGTGTGTGTGTGTGTGTGTGTGTGTGTGTGTGTGTGTGTGTGTATAT